ATGTCTTTGAAGTGTAAACAGTGTGGCAAGTGTTTTAGCCAATCAGGAAACCTAATGCGTCATGAGAGATTTCACACTGGGGAAAAGCCTTATGAATGTCAACAGTGTGGAAAGCGTTTTCGCCGATCAGGAGACCTGGGGACTCATAAAAGAGTTCACACTGGGGAAAAGCCTTATAAATGTAAACATTGTGACAAGTGTTTTAGCCGAGCAGGAAACCTAAGGACACATAAAACAGTTCACACTGGGGAAAAGCCTTATGAATGTAAACACTGTGGCAAGTGTTTTAACCAAGCAGGACACCTAACGCGTCATGAAAAAGTTCATACTGGGGAAAAGCCTTACGAATGTAAACAGTGTGGTAAGTGGTTTAGCGAACCAGGAACACTAAGGATTCATGTAAGAGTTCACACTGGGGAGAAGCCATTTGAATGTGAACAGTGTGGCAAGTGTTTTGCTCTAGCAGAAACGCTAAAAATTCATGAAAGAGTTCACACTGGAGAAAAGCCATTTGAATGTAAACAGTGTGACAAGTGTTTCAGCCTATCAGGAGCCCTAAAGAGACATGAAAGAGTTCACACTGGGCAAAAGCCTTACGAATGTAAACAGTGTGGCAAGTCTTTTAGCCAATCAGGATGCCTAAGGGTTCATGAAAGGATTCACACTGGGGAAAAGCCTTACGAATGTAAACAGTGTGGCAAGTGGTTTAGCGCAGCAATAAACCTAAGGAATCATGAACGAGTTCACAGTGGGGAAAAGCCTTATGAATGTAAACAGTGTGGCAAGTGTTTTAGTGAAGCAGGGAAGCTAAAGGTTCATGAAAGAGTTCATACTGGGGAAAAGCCTTATCAATGTAAACAGTGTGGCAAGTGTTTTAGTGTATCAGGAACTCTACGGAGACATGAAAGAGTTCACACCGGGGAAAAACCTTATGAATGTAAACAATGTGGAAAGTGTTTTAACCGAAGAGATCTACTAAAGATTCATGAAAGAGTTCATACGGGGCAAAATCCTTATGAATGTAATGTTTTGGTGAAGCAGGAACCCTGAAGAATCATGGAAAAGTTCATACTGGGGAAAAGCCTTATGAATGTAAACATTGTGGCAAGTGTTTTAGTCAGTAGAGCGGTTTTAGGAGGCACGAAAACGTCCACAGTAGAAAAATGTCGCATAAATGTGACAGTAACAAAGGTCCGTTTAGACGTGTTCATTGTAGGCCTAAGAGAGGAGGTAGTAATATAAGGTCAGGATTGACTAGCAACACACTGTCACCAAGAGAAACTGGTGACAGTGTCAGTATGAATGGTCAATCAGTCATCATTGAGAAACACAGCTGTTGGATTTGTCAAGAGGAGATGAGTATTGAGGCTCTTCTTCCTTAACTTTATCTAAATCATATGAGGCATGCAGCTGAAGATAGCTCGTAAGGTTGACAAACGTTCTGGTCTATAGTAAGCATTTTGTTTAGTTCGTTACTGTTTTGTAATCTTTCGCCTTTTAACTGACAGCATGATTTCTTTTTCTTGCTTTTGATTAATTGGATAAGTTAAAAAGTTAAAATTTGTTTCTGTTAGACGAGTTTATAACTACGACGACGGCAGTGAAAACATCACCAAAAAAATGAATTTGCGTCCTTTCAAACTTTATCGCCTCTATTTGGAACCGCTCAATTCATGAAATGTAGGCGTCTTTTCCTGGAGTTGAATTCTTAAGGGCTTTATCCATGTTCAAATAGAGAAAGGAAAATTGGTCGTCGTATGTCCACGTCCTCCATAAAACGTCGCATTGGGAGGTTTCACGTCGTAGTCGTGCAGTGGACGTCAAAGAAATGTACTAAAAAGCGTGATGCACGTGCAGAGGTGTTGTTTCATTGTTTAAAGAAGGACAAATCAGGTCTAAAAAAAGGGATTTTTTCACATTCTTCTCGTTTTCTGCTTTTTTTAATCGTTGAAGACTGTGAAAGCGTCCACTTTTAATGAAATTAAAATTGTGATTGCGAATGCTACCATTAAGGTCGATTGGATCGTGAAGTTGATGGAACAGACTAACAAAGCGCCTTTTAAATCAACTCTAACTGTAATTGATGACGATGTTTGGACATCATACATAATGACCTGGATCGAGAGTGGCCGATAAGAACTTTTCGGATTTCGGAATAAAGGGATAATTTTGGTCGGGATGGCGGAATTGAAGAACCCTATTAAAGGCAAACTTCTACACATTTTTGGAACTTCTGGAGCTTTATCCTCGCTCGTTTAGGACTTGTGTCACCTCCAAATTTGGCGAGTGGTGTCGACAGATTTACTCCCTCAGGAAGTAAAAACGACTCGAAGTAATCGTCTGAAATTCAAGCCACGCCAAGCTCAGGGGGGTACTCCGGATTTCAGGTGACAAAAAACGCTGGACGAAAATTTAACCCCCAAATTTACTAGCATGAAAATTTATTCGCGGAACTACGCGGCCGGGATACGTAGGAACTATCACGAATCTTCAGATTCTTTTGAATACGCTAAAGAATCGCTACTAAAATCAAGCTATCCAAAAAAAAAATAATTTTCCAATCCCCCTCAAAATCCCGAAATTGAAACTTTCAAGCCGAAAAAATCCTTCGTTCATCCCTGTCACTTGAAATCCGGAGTACCCCTCCCCGCCCCCGGGACGCCAAGAAACCACAGCCACTCGGCTGAAAAGCCATTCTTGTGTTCCTGATCGCTTGGTAATTCTTAATGAAGATAGAAACTTTCAAACGATTAGAAAAAGAAATAAAATACAGGTCAGGGTGCTAAGAATAGCACCGGGTCCTTTTCAAAATATTGTTTATTTTTCCGGAAACTATTTGGTTTTTTTAACTATCATTACTCAACAGTGAACCAAAAATAACCAAGGTTAGGGAGTGGGGGCGATATTCGATCGTAGGTTCGTAAGTTGCACGTGACAGATGGTCAAAACACACGTGATCAGATTATGAGGGGCAGAAGTTTGAGACGCCCGTGATCAAATTGCGTTCTGTGCATTCCATTCATTCTTAGTGGAAGTCCAAACGAATGCTGGCCAATATCTTTCGCAGAGTCCGCGTTACTCTTGTCCAACCGAATCGTTGCCCGTTCCGCTGGACAAAGCAACGCGGAATATGGGAACGAGATTGAATGCTGGGGTCAGTACTCTTTAACATCTGTCGAAAGGCCCTTGGACACCTTATGAAGTTTACATAACGTAGTATTCCTTATCGTTTTGCATTAGTCGGTTAAGCACTGCGTTTTACAGATTAGGGTTAAGCACTTCCTTTACTGATTAGGGTTAAGCACTGCCTTTACTGATTAGGGTTAAGCACTGCCGTTACTGATTAGGGTTAAGCACTGCCTTCACTGATTAGGGTTAAGCACTGCCTTTACAGATTAGGGTTAAGCACTGTTTCGAAACTGGTTAGGTTCTTTTGTTGGGCTGGGGTTGATGCTATGTGTGCTTTAATTATTTCACTACCATCCAACAAATCCTCAGTGGTTCGAATCCTCTTACCCTACACATCAACGTTTTTTTCTTTTACATTGAAGAGACTTACACTTTCATAAATGATTGTCAGCTTGAAATATCATCTAAGTGTGATATAAAAGCAGAAAACAGTTCTAACTTGTGTAAAAATCATAAAGGGAGAAAGGGCCTTTCGACAGGTGTTAACGAGCGCTGACCGAATGCTGGCTATATTTATGCGACGCATCTGTAATAGCAAGCTGGAGATGAGGATTGCGGGCTCCTCCTGTCACCCGGCCCGCAAGAAGACAGTGACCAGTAATCGTCACCTGTAAAAATTAATGGCTGCCTTCCGAAGGTTTTTTCACGGTGAGAAAACAGGGGCACGCAACGACGGTTTCCTCCTAAATAAATTGGAATCGTTGTTTAGGCTATCCACACTACTTTTTAAAGTACTTTTATATCTTTTATATCCACAGTAATTTAAAAAGTACTGTGGATATTCTAAGGGGCGCTATAAAATTTGTACCTGTTCGGTCATCCTAGAGGAACTTGAGTCTTTTCGAAATTACAAGGGCTGCAGTATTATTGTGCAGAAAATTTTAGATACAACTTAACGTATTAGGAAAGTGAGAATTTTTCTGATTCCTCTCTCCATCACATTTTTGAATCCGAAAATTTTAGGTTTCTTTTTTAGCACGAAAAATAGCCTTACTTGGGCAGAGGAATGTAACTAAATGTTAAGAATTAAAATTCAGGAAATCGTAGGGAAATAATTAGATAATCTTCGAAAATTGCACATGAATGGAACAGTCATCTAGAAATTTTAAACCGTTCTCAAGCAATAGAGAACTCTAGACAGCATTTGCTTCTCCGAACAGATATTTTACCGAAAACAGTCGTTGGGTGCCCCTGAGAAAAGGTAAGGCTAACAGAAAAATCAATTAAAGCGAGGTTATCATTCTAAGTGGATTTTGTTGATTTGCGAAAAAAACAAACCGGTCCCTTATCGCAGTAAGAGGTTTTTGTCTTAGCCAGGGTCGTAACGAGGTATATTTATTCCCGACGTTTTAATAAAAGGCCAAAACGTGGGATAGAAATTGTGATCCCAGATCCCCAAATTGTTGCAAATATTGATCCCTGAGTAACTGTGTCTACTTGACAAAAAACTCGATGAAATGCAAAATAATATGTCTCTATTTTCGATTTATTTTATTTTAGTCACATTATTTACTGACTGGAGAATTAAGTTTGTCTACTATCTGTTCTTTCCAGTTATCATTTCTATCACAAAGCGTTCCCCTTTTAGAGCTCTCATAATAATATATCTACGTACCAGCAGGAGCGACGGAAAGTCCGACAAGAGTGAGAGGAGTTGTGTGTCGAATAGAAGCAGAAGTTAGAAAGCCAAAAGCCAAATCAGGAATGCGCGCCCTTAAAGAAGAACAAGAACTAGAACGCAAGCTGGAATAAGTTTCGTTTTGTGCTCTGTTTGTGCAATTTAAGTCTTCCTTTTAAAATTTGATCAACTTGATGTAACAACGGCAACACGAAAGTAAAAACACAAGCAAAACAAATTGTGATGCAGTATACATGTATAACTATAGGATAAAAAGTGTTTCCTCTAGCTAGCTTTGTTTCAGTCGTCACCATGGTAACACCTGTGGTAGCACCGGTTAACCAGCTAAGTTCAGGTGTGCCTCTAATCATACATCACTATCTGCCGTGACTATCGTACTGGGATTTGGAATAAATCTTTCGTGGCTTCACAATTTGTATCAGTTTATTTCCAGGAAAAATGGATTTTGGACGATCCTCTTCCCTTGTAGGCTTTGTAAGTTTGGCTAAGACATCATAGACATCGAAGCAAGCTTCAATTTGGTGGACCTTTCATGACCTTACCTACTTGACATTTAAAAGTAATTTGTAAAGAGCGGCAAGGAAGTGAAAATTTTGAACGATATTTTTTTGGATTTGGTAAAGAAAATATGCTATAAAGGCTGATCAGTAAAACGTGCAAAGTGTGAAATACCAATTGCCAAACTAAGGACAGTGTTCAGTTTTGATAAGAGGGATTTTGTCTGCGTCGAAAGGCAAGTATCGAAAGGCAAGACATCGTTAATATAAAGATATTGTTTAGGGTGCCTGACATCATAGTCGTGTGATTAGTTTAGAAGAAGGGAAATTAGTCACTCTGGCAAAAGGCACTGTTTATTTATACTGCGTGAATTTTTTCTTCCAGAATCAATATTGGGCAGTACAAAGACTTTGACCAATTCGGTAACTCAGTCACCCTAGTGTATATCTCCAACAAAATGAGATAACAGGTAAATCAGCAGAGAGTCAGTAATGTGCCAATAAAGCAACATAATATAAACATCTCTATCAGGGTTTTGCAGTCAAGCTAGTCCAGCAGATCGGATTGCATGCGGTTTGCTACCCGATTTACATGTTTCAACGTAAAAATTCTACGGAACTAAATTTTAAAACATTTGCAGCGCATGTCAGAAATTTGCAGAATTTTGTGGTCTTTGTTGTTCTGTCGGAAAGCTTCGGAAAACGCGTAAACCATTCCTTATCGCCTTAAAGACCTTAAAATACGTCTTGTCCCGATCCCACTGCTTGTGATCCCAGATCCCATCGTTGTGTTCCCTGATCACACCCTAATTTTTACTGTTGACGCCTGATCCCATATACCTCGTTACGACCTTGTTTTAGCAGGAGAGGATTATAACTTAGGAAAAAGGGAACATCTGTACGAACGAGGTGACTGTAATAAGCGGGCGTCCATTCATAAAGTCGAGCTCAACTGAACACTAAAGGACTACAGATGTTTCCGTTAAGAATATATTTCACCAGCCCAGGAGCTTACTACTGATCGGCCACTGTTCTTACTACGCTTTTCCTTTCTTTT